TTAAACTCCTCGAACAACAATTGAAGTGTTTTGATGGTAATAAATTCGATAGGTAGGAGCGCAGTTCCAATAATCCGACGTACAAATAATTTAAAGTGGTTGTTGTTACGATAAGCACAAGAACAAGCAACAATCCTACTTTCTATTTTACGAAGTATGCTATGTGCAAAGTGAAAGTAGCATCCCTGAAATTCAACGGCCGGAAAACATTTTTGAAAAGTGGTTATAGCGTCCATTTCGAAATCTCCTAAAAACACCTTTTTGTTACCAAAAATTGATAAACCTCTTTGGTTAGCCAAATTTTCAACTGCGGCAAATATTTGGGAGTAATTGGCTTTTGATTTACTTTTCATTTATATAAATAAACATGATACTGCCACTTCGTTTACAAATGCATGTAATATGTACATTTGTCCTTCGTTGTTAACTACTTTAAATGTGCCATCCCCAAATATCACTTTTGATATACTCAATAGATATATTCCACTTGGAAGACCAAAAATAGTCGCTTCACCTTCTAAATAAGCCAAGATGAGTGGAGACTTCATTTCAAACAACTGTTTAATTTTAGTTGGTATGCCAAAATATTTTTTTGCTTCATATTTTAAATGGGAAGCCTGTTTCTTCGTCTTTTTAGCTCCTTTAAAATTTCTGTTGATTAACGATGTTCTCTCTAGAGGTTTTGAAACCAGTGCTACTTTCAGTTGGTCTGTCAATTTGACACTTTCGATATCTTTTTTTAGATATTTGCCCGGCCTCGTTTTTACTTACAGCTTTGTGAAATTTCAGATTGTACTCTTTGATGTTCCGCACACCAACAATGTTGTTATTGTCATCAATGATGAGAGTAATTCTAGAAAAGCAGACTGTGCATATATAAAAAATACTCTGGTTTTTATGATAGACAAATCCATCGTATACGAACATGTCACCCAATTTCAATTCTTTACGATAGGGTTCAAGTGATATAATTCAAGTGAATAATAGTTTAAATTGATTTATTTTTATAATTGTATTTATAATTTAATAATTTAATTAATGGAAAAAATAAAATTATGTTTGTTTGAAAACTAAAAATATTATTCATAAACTGATTATATAAAATTATCTGAAAACTTGTGTATTTTTAATCAATAATTTAATAAAACAATTGATTATTATATAAAAAAAAGTTGAAATAATTATTGTAAAAACATTTTTTATTATTATTGTAGAATGACAATAATTATACCATTTATTTCGAAATAATAATTTTCAAATAAATTAATAATTATTATGTAATTCCAAAACTCAGTTTCAATTTAAACAAAAAGTATTGTAACTATTATGTGACATAATTAAATAAAAGATTGATAACATATTTTTGTATACATAAACTTTTTTCAACAGAAACACATAATATATCAATTAAATTGTTATTTTTAATAAAGAAAATAAATAAAAATGTTATATCAAATAATACAGTAAAATATACTCAAACAATCAAGTCAATTACATCAGTCGACCTCCTCGATCTTCGGCCCATTTGTGTCGCTCTTCTTTTCGCCCTGTTGTTGTGCACTGGGCATACCACTTTGTGGCATACTTCCTGGCATGTTACCAGCGATTGGGGGAAAACTCGCCCCTATACAAACTCGCACCCCGAGAATTCACCCCTGTAATTTCACAAAAGTTCAACACAAGTTCAACAAAATTTCAACAACAAAATTTTGTATACAATAAATAAAATATCTATATATACTATAATTAATATTAATAAAATATAATAATTATTTATTATAAATATTAATAATTATTTATTATAAATATTAATAATATTTATAATATTAAATGACACAAAACATCAATTAAATTATGTTTTTATTAATAATGAAATATGATTATATTATATAATTTAAAACCATTATGAATATTAAAACCTAGTAATTTTTATGGGGGTTAAAATACAAAAACCATTTATTTAAACAATGGAATTTCATGAAAATCCATCATCAAATTTTCCTTCTCCTCCACATTTTGTTATATTACAATCTGAAAAAGGCGAAGAAATGCCTTATGTTGACGGTTATAAATTTTCTCCAAAAGATCGCGCTACCGGGTCTTTTCGTTGTAGAGTATGTGGAAAACTAATTTGGTGTCATCGAGATGAATATGGTCATTTAGACAATTTTGAATATCGTGGTAAAAAAAGAACATGGACATGAAACTTCTGATTATTTTGATGATTACTACACGTGTCTGCTTAGAGATTTTTAAAAAGCAATTCCTCGACATATAAAACAACTTCAGAAATAGTCGCTGAAAATTATGTTATGGGTTCGACCAAACGATTTTCAACGGGAGAAAGGTTTGTGAAATTAAATAAACAAATTGCTATGAATCCAACATCAACCGATCAAATTGTATTTACAGATGAAGAAAAAGAATTGATATTAAATAATGATAAAGAAATGATTATTTTTGGGAAAAAAGAATATTTTACTTTTATTTGCCAATCAACAATACTTCTTATTGATGGCACTTTCAAAACATGTCCAAGTTTGTTATTTAATTGCGTCTAAAAAATAATTTAGATGATATTACATTTTGTTTAACAATCAACTTCTATTATTATTTATAATATTGATATTGATATTGTTGTTTATTAAAACAATTTAATATTAAACATAAAATAATATATATTGTAAAAATAAAATATATGTTA